AGAGGAAGAGGAACAAAGATCCGCGTGGTTTATTATGGCGTGATTATGCTTTTGTCCCGGTTCACGCACCGGGTCGGACACCCACTTTTCACGACGGCGTCGACGAGTTGCGGCTAATGAGTGCAGTGGGAAAAAGAACGCGACGCCGAGAAAGCGGGTGCCGAGTGGGCCACCCACTTCCGAGGGTGGTTGGCAAGCGCGCGGATGTAGCTAGCCCGTGCGTTTCTAGTGCAGTCTTCCCAGGTGTCACCCGCTTGCGTTCGTGCGTCATGTCCAGTAGTGATAATGCGCACAAGAGCATTGGTACTAATCATTTGTATATGTACGGCCGTGTGTGTCAGTGTGGCCGTCATGTGGCCACCCCACGGTGGTTTATAAATTGATAAAGAAAAGCTGCGACAAATTGGAAGACATGTACAAAACTGGATTAAAACTTGTGTTTGTTTTCAGCGCACATATGACACAATGCTCTAGTGAACCATAAATGCTACAAGCCAAAATCCAATTTTAGGTCAACAGCTATCTCAGATTTCAGATAGGAAGTGCTGAGGGAGTCTAGGGGGTTTCGACGTCATGCCGAAGGCAACATGCGTCCCGCGGGTCGTAGGTTAGTGATGAATAGTGTATCCTTTCTTACCATTATTTTATCCATTGTGTCAAAGCACAAGTGCCGGTTCGATATGAATTCTCGAACAGAAGTACAAAACATGGCATTTTAGAATAATACATGCATTAGCATAACCAATTACTTCACGAGAAACTAGCAGAAACCTTCTGCACGTGCGTAGAAAGAAAATTGCTTACTTGTTTATTGGTGTATCTTTATTATTTGCTTAGCACGTTTAGCAAGCACACGCTAGAAGAGAAATATCTTCGTGCTGACCTCTACTTTCCTGCGTCTTTTCACAGCGTCCACTCAGTCTATATACACCGCCCACGCGCCTTTTGGAAAAGTAACCATGTTACTCTAATGAATTTCACGTGTAGCAACTCTTCTACACAAGAAAAAGAAAAGCAAAGCAATTTGCATTCTGCCCGCTATATTCGACATTGCACACAAGAAAAAAAAACAGTTAGGCTCCACTACTCTGTATTCCAAGTTAATAATACGAGACTGAGTCCCGTGAGACGCGGGCCAACTTCCGAGCAGACATTACACTCGGCGCACTTCGTCGAGAATTTCGCAACTTTCACCGTCTACGAAACCAGGATGTTTGACGTCGTGAACGAAAGGTCCTCGCGGTCGACCACCGCGTCTTTATCTTCATTCTCTTCCCGCTCTCATGCGCAACTCCCGTGTTCACGCTTACACGCAGAGAGACAGCTCGTTCTGAACTCGGTGGGCTTTAGGGTGGCGATGGCTGCGATGGTGCGTCCCACCGCGTGCTACCGTCGGCACCCGGTGATTGTTAGCAGAAGCGTGCTGACACGAGGAACTGGTCGCAATAACCGGTGGGTGCTATACGTGCCCGTACTGTTCAATTTCGGTGATGCAAGAAGATGTACGCCATATTGTATGGACATGCCGAGGAATATACAGTCGTAACGCTGCTGTCAACTCCTAGAAGCCGGCCTTCGCTACAGTGACATTACCACTTATGACGCTAAGTACACGACCACAGGGTTAACGATACACTGCGTCACTTCATACACAACACCGTCCAAAGGGCGCGCATTTATTAAACATATGCACACAAAATACGTCCTCTTCTTTTTTTCTTCTTCTTTTACTACTTCCTTTTATTCCTCCTCTCTGTAGACGGGGAAGTTTTCTTGACGAGCGACTAATCTGACGAAGTCTACAACACGCAGAAGTGTGTTTATTTTATATTAATATTATCTATAAGTTTTACATCTGGAAACCATGATGTGATTGTGAGTGATGCCGTAGTGGGGGGCTCCTGAAATGTGGACCATCCACTTTTTTTATCATTTAACGTGCTCTCATATCGCCCTACGCAAGGGCATTTCACCTCTATCAAAATGCGACCAAACATGGACGCCGCGGCGCTCGGATCATCAGCCGAGCACCGTGACGGCTACACCTCAGCGATGGACTGATCTTCGGTTCCTAAACTTAGTTATAAGCGTGCTGCAGATTTGGGTTCACTATACAAAGAACCCCGGGTAGTCGAAATTCCGGTGCCCTCCACTACGTCGTCTCTCATATCGATAGGGCAGTTTTGGGACGCTAAACCCCACAAATCAATCATCAAACTTAGAACAATTAGAAAGTATTGTCTCCTTGCAACATGTTACGCAGCATTGTTGCAAGTGCTACGTAATGCAAGTGGTCCGAAATTCAACTCCTGAGGCCCCTTCATGAAGAAAGAAAGAAATAAAAAAGAAGAAAGAAAAAGAAGAAAGAAAGTAGAACCCATGTAATGGTGAAGTCACATAAGTAGGCCTGAGGTCGGCTTTAGTTCTGCCTTAGCTGAGGAGAATTGGGCACCTTCAGGCAGTACCTGGACACTACCTCGCGGTGAATATACTTTTGAAGAATGAGAATTGTCGTGGTTTTAATAAAAATACTAATTTTGCTTGTCATGGCCAAAACTTAAAAAAGATTGAGTGACTGATATATGAGGACAGTAACATTTTTAAGACTACAACACCTGCTTTAGTGATGTTTCGGCCTGTTTGCATGTTCTGACGTTGTTAACAATACCAGCATGGCGCGCTAGAAGTTCCTTTAAATGAAGCGAATTGTCATTTTTATTCAAGCATTGAACAAATAGTGAAAACACACCTGCCATCTTTGTACATAATGGCGAATACACTGTCGACAAGCAATCATCACAGCTATCAGTGCAGTGAACAGTTCAAATCATGTACATGTTGCACATGTAGCATATGAAAACCCTTCATGCGCTTCAGTGTGCTACATGGCTTCCCTGTAAAGCATGGAAGTTTTTTTATGCGTAATATTAACAGGGGTGACGTCTACCAAGATATAAATAATGTCTGGCTTTTGATTGATTGATTAATATGGTGTTTCACGTCCCAAAACCACCATAATGTGTAGCTTTTACGTGCCAAACCACTATACGATTTCGAGAGACTGGAAAGCTCCGGATGTTTCGCCCACCCCGGGTTTCTTTCATGCGTACGTGGGCCTCCGGTATTTCAACTCCATAAAATTTTGACCACCGCGTCCGGGGTTGAACCCATGACCTGCGGGGGCTCTGTGCCTGTGGGTCAGCAGCTTTGCACCGTAACTGCTATAACAACGTAGCGGAATGTCTACAGAAGTCGCGCTCATGCATAGTGCTGCAAATAAGCTTTACCGGACGAGCATGCTCACATTTTCCTCAATGTAGACCAGTGCAGACTCTTCACTTTTTCATACAGCCGGCTACTACAGACAGTCACGGCAAATGGCTATGGTGGCATTCAGTCTTTTATCACCACATTTTTGTCGTCCGTGTCCAAGAAGAGAGAACAGAGTGGGTCGGAGAACCTTAGCCGAAATCAAGAAAAAATGAACCGGGGCAGGGCATGTATACTGCCTGAGCAATATGATTGCTAATCATTGAAAGTAACAGACTGAGTTCCAAGAGAAGGCAAACATGCGAATTGTAAAGAGCAAGTTAGGTAGGTAGATGGGATTGCAAAGCTTGTGGGTGTGATGTGGCCCGTAGGAAGCTCAGCGCCGAGTTGAATGGCGGAACATGTGAGAGGCCTTTGCCCGGCAGTGGATGCGATCAGTCTGATGATGATAATGATTAGGATAATGTCCGTGTTTTCTCGCGTTCTGCGGTCAAACCCGCAGTTCCTGCGCGTAACCCCAGCGCATGATGACGGGTTCAAACGAATGCAAGCACAAGAGCAAGAACTGAACTCAAAGCTCATAGGAAGTGCGAATTTTATTAATAACGTGTTGTATTTTTGCTTTGATCCATGAAATCTTATCAGTGTTATGTACAAAATCGTCAGAGTCAGATTTTTATCGCCTGGTTGGAAAACATTCGATTGATTTGATCAATTGGAAAACATTCAATTATTGAAGCAACAAAAGCAGCTTAGTAAAGTAAAAAACGTTTTTGTTGCTTATTTCTCTTAAGCTTTCTTCAGATTCTCATGGCTTTCCTTTATTTAAAAAAGCTGCTATTAAATTATCATTATATTATTAGTAAAAAAGCTGCTACAAAAATTTATATATTGTGACACCCTGGGTCTTTATTCTGTACTCTTGCGTGATATCTATGATGGTTTCACAAAGTGCTTCCAGACATAAAAGCCTTGTTTGTTAGCTCTCTGTCCTGCTTTCTCTACACCATCCTGTGTCGGACTGTTTCATATTTGTCTGAAAAAGTAGGAGTTAATCCCAGCGAACACGCTGTTAATGCACATTCTCACCAATAAGAAATCTGTTAGACCTCTCCAGTACATTCATTGCCTTACAATGGCCGCTCAGCGGAACGTCGAATATATATAAATATATTTATTGTTGGACCAGCGTGCTGGTGTCATGCGCGCACTACAAGTGGGGTATCCACCCATATTCCGCACGTGAAGACGACGTTGCACCTGTGCCCTTGGTCGCGATTATTGCGATTAAGGTCACGTGTCGTACATTTGGCCCCAGTGGTAAGAGAGGGTATTGTCGCTGTCCACTGGCCGAGCGCCGTGAGCCATGCACCGTATGGAGAAGCAGAAGAAGATACCGTAGAGCAGCTTCGCGCGAGTGTGAGGATCAAAGGAGCGTGGGCCTGCCCTCTCTCCTGACAGGAACCATTCTTCGGCAAACCGAGAGTGTGACGGGCGGAGAGGCGACGATCAAAACCAAGAGCAGTGTGTCCTCTCACCTCCGCCAACTTGCGACGTCGTCGAGCCATCACTTTCCCCTTCTTCAGGCCTCCTTACAACGAGATGACCCGCAACAACGTCAGAGGGCTCGGGGGCGAAAGAAGAAGGGGGGGTCGTGCCTCTCATCACCGCCTTGCGCGGGGCCGGGGTATATATACGGACGGCCATTCAGCCATGGCCACAAACCACACCGCCATGGCTTCTCCAGGGATTAGAACGGGCAAGGTAGGCATGTGCTCTTCTAGCGCCGTCGACTCCTGACGGAAACGCGTGTTCGTGCGTGCATTTGACAAGGAGGGTCACACCGATGAGAACAAGGACGCTTTTGTGACGCGTAGAAAGGCGACGTTCTTCGGTGCTATCCTATCCAGTTCATAGATGAAGTCAATAAGGGGAACACTGTCACGGGTACTGCGTGAAGCTTGCCGTCCGAAAGAAAGGCTATGGATATATACTCAAGCGCCAAGCAGGGCTGTTCAATGAAAGAATCTATGGATGTGGGACCTACCAATACTTTCGAAATGCTGGCACCACATGCGAACTTGTCGAACGCAGGGTGTGTGTCCACGAAACTATTCGGGATATGTACCGTTACATGAGAACAGAGGCCGATGTCTCGCACATGATAGCAGGTAAAATTGTGTGAAAGGCAACATATTTAAAGAGAACAGCTTATAAAATGAGGAAAACGCGTACACAGAGTTCCATGTTTGTAAGTTTGCTCATCGCCTGTCTCGTATTTAGCGCCGTTCACTTCTATGCTGACAACTTACCAACTTACTCGGAATCAGGCCTCAGTGTATGCAATCGTTCACTTTTACGAAAGAGCGCATTGACCTATCTGGCATCAGAGCAGCACGTATGCATTATATAAGGTAACTCGATGCTAAATGTTTCCTGCTGTGCTTCGATGTACTTGACTTATATGCCATCCGGATTTCCTGTTGATCTTCCCTTCATTCACATCAGCTGTGGATAGAATCAGAAGCTAAACCACAAAGCACGCATGCGGCTTTTTTGGACGCATTATTATTCGCGATCAGCTAATAGTCAGTACGTTAGAAACACTGCACCTTGATATGTTTTAAGCACTGGCGAGCTATTGGTGTTTGGCTAGTAATAACACTTTAGTACGAAATACTATGGAAGATGAGATAGAAGATGAGGTGTTAATTTTATTTGTTCAGATCCATCTACAATAGTTGGTTACTTCTCATTTTCAAAGGAACGTTTTTAGAAAAAAAGTGCATTGCATAACTTGGTTTTCTATGTTGTTTGAATCAAATGAGTGGAAAGTTTTACAGGTGCAGCTGATCTAAAAATAGGCTTTTCTTTCATAAAAACCTCGTCAGTGCCTTTGTTATGAAAATTCAGTACCTCTGCTATAAATATTCCCACAGTTTGATGCCACTTTCGTAAGGTATTATTCATCGAAACATGGGAACATTTACCACGAAGTGTGGAGGCTTGTTTTCTGATCAATGTTCTTCGTAAGCAGCAGATTGTTTAATATATCTTCTTGTCAATATTTAGTCACCAAAGAAATTAAATATGACTTTGTTATTCCATCTGTAAGCTATGTTCCTGATGAACTCGGGTGCTTGTAAGTTTTTATATTTAACATTAGCACTACGTTTTACAACCCTGCTTGCAGATTCGAGCCGGCTGCTGGTTCAATAGAATATTGTAGTTCATGCTGTGGTCACACAATACATTTGCTTAAACCTAATTTTTTTTAAAACGTGGCTGCTTCAACAGAATTCTTTGACTCACAAAAAAAGAGGTTGTTATATCGTTCTTTCAGTCTTTAAAAACGTTCAGGCAATTTTCTTCACCATGTTCCAACAATCTTTTCAGCCAAGTAGCAGCCTTGTTTCAAAAGAAACAAAGAGGCACACCGAGCTCCCACCGCTCGAAACGATGTTGCAAGTAATTACGTTTCGATTGGGCAACTCTTGTTAGTGACTTGCCCTCGACATGGTATTCGAGGCCCTTCTCCTCTTCCTTGCACCACCCCTTTCCCACTCCCTCCTGGCTTTATGTTTTCTGCTGATCGTTTTTCACAACGAGATTATTGCGCAACAGTTACGTGACGGATCATCTTCGCCGTCGTCCCTTCATTCATCCTCCCCGTTCCTCGTAGCGGTGTGGTGACGAAAACAAAGTTGTTGGGAAAAAAAAGAGCTAAGAAAAAGCGAGAATTTGCGACAGCCTAGTCTGCGGCGTTTACGCTCTAGACACGTCTTTCCTCGTGCAACACTCTTGGTTCCTCTCGCCACTGAGAAAACAGTGAGGGCCTCGGTGTTTTTGTTAGCCTCACGACAGCTAGAGAGCAGTGGCCCCGTTTCTATCAACAGTGATGTGCAGTCGGCTGTGACCGAGGAGGATCGGTGACATCGGAAGTGATTCTGCATGCATGAGCGTTCGCTGTCGTTGCACGGCCACTCCTCTGGCCATTCTTGCCGGCCCTCGTGGACGGAACACTCGGGAGCTCCGTGGCTGAACGTACGCCGCAGCGTTTAGAGTGTGCCTTGCTACACTGGCCGTCCTTTTGTCGGCTCTTTTGTCTACGTTACACCGGCCGCGCACCTCTTTTTTTTTTTGCTTGTGCCGTTCCAAGCTATTTTGATCAATGTAGTGTCACAACCAGCTCACATGGTATATGTACGTTACCGGTTAACGAGCCGGTAAAAGGCCTTCGGTTTCTCCCGCTGGCTGAGGCGTTTTATTATACCGTACCATAGATTTGTCTGAGGATGCTTGGAGACGATAGAACTGTAAGCAATGTGTCTTGTCTCGGGCCGTCACCATGCTTTGATACTTAAGTTTATTTTTTAAATATTAATCTCATTGAAAAAACTGCCAATTCTGAAACTTGCTAGATCTATAGATTGGTGGGCCGTAGCTTTTGCAGGACTTATTTAGTGTAGGGTGCATAAGCATTCGAGTATACTTCGCTGTCCAGCAAGAGGCAATACTGAATTCGGTCATATTGCATTTTGTTTCAGGTGGTAACGTTTGTAGTCCTAGTACTCTTTATAAACGCTGCTCACTGCGAAGAAAAGAAACCAGACATAAAAAAGAAGGCTGTTAAGACAGCTCTTGAGCCACTGAAAGCGGCAGCGACTGCACAGACAGGCTGGTACGAAGGCGCCGGTGGATCCCAATCCTGGTCTTCGGGAGGACAAAGCTATGGTGCTGGTGACGGTGGAGCTGGCCTTGCCTCCTGGGCTGACAGTGGCAGAGGATCATCGAGCTTCGGTGGAGGAGTCGGTGGATCTGGACCGTGGGCTGATGCCGGCAAGGGCAGTGCTGGTGGTGGCTTTGGTGGTGCTGGGCCCTGGGCCGACTCTGGAAGTGGTGGATTCGGTGGAAGTTCCGGACCATGGCAGAGTTCTGGTAAAGGATCGAGTGGTTCTGGCTTCACTGCGGGCGCCGGACCTTGGGCTGGCGCTGGAAAAGGGTCAAGTGGCGGCTACGGAGGCGGCCTTGATTCGTGGGCTGGCGCAGGGAATGGTGGTGGTTTTGGTGGCACTGGCAAAACCTTTGGAGGCGGAGGAGGAGCTGTTGGACCCTGGGACCAAGCCGGAGGAGTTGGCGTCGGAAAAATTGGCGGCGGTGGTGGTGGTGCGTCATGGGCTCAGAATGGTGGCTTCAGTGCTGGTGGAAAAGGAAGTGGATGGGACTTCTCTCAGGGATCCAAGTTCGGCGGAAGTTTCGGAGGTGCTGGTGGAAAAGCTGATAGCTGGGACTTTTCACAAGGGTCAAAATTTTCAGGTGGCGCTAATTCCTGGGATCAAGGTGCTTTAGGGGGTGGAAAACTTGGTGGTGCTGGTGGTGGTGCGTCCTGGTCACAAGGACAATTTGGTGGCAGCAAATCGGGCTATGGTGGAGGTGCGTCGTGGGACCAAGGTGGTAAATCATTCTCCCAGAATGCTCAAAGTGGACCATGGAGGGGCAAGACAGCTGTAGCTCAAGATTCTTGGACGCCGAGTGGTGCAGGAGGCTATGGAAAAACATCTACTACTGGTGTAGGTCCATGGGCTCAAGGAGTTGGTGCAGGAAAAGGATTTGGTGGTGTGGATGCTTGGCTTCAGGACAGTCCAGCTGGTGGAGGCTCATGGGCACAAAGTGGAGCTGGAAATGGTAAGCCAGCATCCGGAGCTGGTCCATGGGCGCAAGTGGGTGGTGCTAATGGTAAAGCAAGCTATGGATCTGGGCCTTGGTACGGTGGCTTTGCTGGTGGTAAAGGTGGAAACGGAGGTGGTGGCGCATCTTGGACCAATGGAGGAAATGGTGCCGGAGGAAAGAAAGTACAATTGGCAGGTCCATGGGACTCTGGCAGTTCCGCAGGTTCCGCTAAGGGAGGAGCAGGACCTTGGGCACAAGGTGGAGGTGGATATGGTAATGGTGGGACTAGGAGCTTTGGTGGCCCAGGACCATGGGCAGGAGCAGGAAATGGAGCAGGAAATAGTGGCGGATATAAGAGCTTTGGTGGACCAGGGCCCTGGGCAGGTGCAGGTAATGGTGGAGGCAGCAGTGCGGGGATGAAGAATGCAGGCGGACCAGGCCCTTGGGCTAGTATCGGAAGTGGAGCAGGAAACGGTGCAGGACCTAAGAGCTATGGAGGACCTGGACCCTGGGCAGGTGCAGGAAACGGTGCAGGAGCAAGAAGCTTCGGTGGAGCAGGGTCATGGGCAGGTGTCGGAAATGGCGGTGGTTCCAAATTCAGCTCACAACAAGCATCATGGGACCAAGGAGGATATGGTGGGAACGGAAAAGCAGGTGGACCAAAACCTTGGGCTGGAGTAAGCGCTAATGGTGCCGGTCGCGGATCTTGGTCCGGTGGTGGTCAGGGAAGTTACGGAGGGGGTGCAGGTGCACCAGGACCTTGGGACAGCGGTAAAGTAGCTGGCGCTGGAGCATCATGGGACCAAGGTGGATTTGGTGGTGGAAAAGGAGGAGCACCGGGCCCATGGGCTGGAAAAGGGCGGTCTAACGGATTTTCTCAACCTGACCTTGGAAGATTCCCTGCTTCATCTGGTCCCTGGGACCAGGGATCGTACGGAGGAGCGGGAAAGGAGGTAGTGCGGGCGGCCCATGGGACAGCGGTAGCAACGGGGGAGGCACAGGCACACCGGGTGGACCCTGGTCGGGGGTTGGAGGCAATGGAAAAGTGTCTGGCGGGCTCGGAGGAGGAAGCTCTTGGACCCAGGGTGGCGCAGGGGCAAGTGTGTCTGGTCCGGGACCTTGGGATCAGGGAGGATATGGTACGAGAAAGGGAGGTAATGGGGGCGGAGCCGGTGGGCCTTGGGACAGTGGCTCAAAATTTAATGGTGCGGGGGCCTCTTGGAGTGGAAACGGGAATGGTTTCGGTGGTGGAAAAGGTTTTGGTGGGGGCGGCGGCAGCTCATGGTCTCAAAATGGCAATGGCAAATATGGAGGTGGAAATGCAGGTGTATCGTGGACACAAACAATGTTCGGAGGCACTGCAAGCGGACCATGGCAACAAGGTGGTTACGGAGGTCAGGACTCCTGGGCTGCAAAGGGAGGTGCTGGTAATGGCAAATTTGGCAATGGTGGTGCCGGACCCTGGCAGGGTGCTGGTGGGGGAGGAGATGGTGGTGGCTGGCAGGCTGACCAGGGAAGCGTTGGAGTCTGGATCGGAGATGTCAGCCAGAAGAGTAGAGGCGGCTTCGGTCCGCAGGCAGGTGGAAGACGGAGAAATAATTACTTGCCATCCCAAGGTGGTGCTAGCTGGGATGGACAAGCAGGCGGACAATTTGGTAGTGGTGGCGGCGGTAGCTGGGATGGCGGCGCATCGCAGAAAGGCCGCGGTGGTTTCGGTGGAGGACAAGGAGGTGGTGTGGGTAAAGTGAAATGGAGCTTTAGCAGAAACGATCCTTGGGCCCAACCTCAAACCTGGTCTGGTTCCTGGACGACAGACGGAGCGGCGCAGCAGTACACATCCGTAGGAGTCGGGCAGATGATGTTCGGTGGTGTTGCGGACTGGATGACGGCAGACAAGTACAGCTCCAAGTATGGAGGGGGTGCTGGTGGAGGAGGATGGCAGCAGCAGCTTGGAGCTGGTAGCCAAGGCTCCTGGAGTGGAGGCGGAGGTGGTGGTAGCAAGTGGTGACCACTCATCCATCGTACTGCATGGCTTCAGGTTAGTTCATTCTGCTTTCATACATTGCTTCTTCTAAAATTATATAACATTTCTGTAGTTCACCAGCATTCCTGATATATCTTGACCAAATTGGTGTCCATAATGAACTCGGTAAACCAGGCATTTTGTAAAACAGCTTCAGAAAATAGTTTGTTCCTTTGAACGCACCTCAAATAATTCTGCAATGTCCCCGAATTACAACGCAGAATGAGTAATAAGAGGTAAGTCCAAGCGGCAAACTATTTTTTCAAGATGCACACTCATGGTTTACGCAAAGTGTTTGTCACTGCACCTGTCGACACAGCATGTCCTCGAATATCCATTAAGAAGTTTTGTCTCTAAATAATTGCATACAACCGACGTATTTTCAGAATAAACTAGTAAATTGTATCTTCCATTGTAGCTAGGTTAGGGCTGTCAGTTTTCTAATGAAGAAATATTTTGTAACCTATGAAGAGGCCAGATAGATAGCAACATCTTTAGTGACTGAATTGTGAGTAGAGGTTATAAGTTAAGATGACACAAAGTTATGGTGACCTGGAAACAGCGGAAAAGAACAGTTCATTTTTCTCACCATAATTTTTCAACAGCAGACCACACATTATGGTATTGACGTGTTAAACCACACGTGGAAGCTGTATTCATTTTAGTGACCTGTGAGGTCTTTAGCAAGTGATTAGGTTAGTACTCCAGGAAATGAGGCAAGAAAAAAATCAAGCTGCAAAAACCTTGGGTCTTTTCTTCTTTTTCAACTAATATTTCTAACCATTACTTTCTTACTTTTACGTTGTTATTTTCATTATGGTCGCCCCCTGGCTGGAAACTGTTTCTTTGTTAGAATAAAAAGAATAATACTACTACATTTTCGGGATCTGGTTCATAGAGAATATCGTTGCATGACGTTGTATCGTGAAGCAATGTCTTGAGCGTTTCTTTTCAAGTAAGCTGCCTTTACGACTTTGCAATTAGATTTATGTAAATCACTGATTCGTCCTTTTTTGTTTCTTGAGCAGATGCCATGAACAATTTCTTGAAGAAGGGACACCGCACGCCAGCAATCAATGGCTCATCGTTGATGCAAGCAATATTTTGTGCAGCTTCTAATCGTCTTTTGTCCAGAGCAATGCTCTAATATGTAAAATTTAAGAATTCTTCAATTGTACAAATGCTGCAGTATAATATACGCATTTTTATCGCAATCATTATATTCAACTTCGTTAAAAACATCCTACGCACTTGAACAAAAGATCTGTTGTGTTTAATTGAATGTTGTCTGTGTTGTTCAGCTGAATGGTATTTTTTTTCGCATACTCGAGTCGCCGTGTATCATAAGAGTTTATCATATGTTGGTTGTATGTGTGCCAAGACTGATTTTTGTCTGTTGACAGGATGGCAAACTTGTTTCACAGTTTTTCAAGCGCGCTGGCTTTCGCGGTCCTTTTTTGTTGTCACGTGATAGCAACCAGCTACGTTTGTTAATGTTAATGTTAATGTGCCTTCTTCGTGGACTTCGTTGAATACTGCGGGTGCACGAGAGCTTTGTTTCGTGCGTCTGTCCTTGTTCGTATTCAAATAAAGTATTTACGTGAAAACACTCAATTTTCGTTATGACTGTTCGCATTTCAATTGTTGTGAAAAAGTTAGTGCTCGTACATTTTCTTATCCAGAAAATGCGAGTTGAAAAAAGCGAATACCCTCGACTAACGATAAGCAATATTTTATGTGCCCATGGCTGATTTATGATATATATATATATATATATATATAAATATATATATATATATATATATACACGTTTGTGTCACGGGGGCTATACTTATGGATATATTTGAGCGAGAAAGCCGAAATTGAGTTACTTTTGCAAGCACTTGGAGTCGATACCTGAGTGCTAGTTCTTGGGTCACTTATTGCTTGATGAAGTTCGAAATGAGAACACCTGTGATATACAGAAGTAGCAGATGTACGCGTACCCAAGAAAAAAGTCCTAGGTACGACCGAACCGCATACTATCTTCCGTACTTTTCGCAATTTACATTGTCGCAAAAAGCATCTGAAGCGGGCGAGTCCTCATCTGCTTCCAATACACGCGCAGTTTTAATCCCCTTCTATCCATGCGATGGGTAAGCACTTCCCTTGAACTACAAACACGCAGACGTATCGCTGACACAATAATTTCTGAGATTTACAATATGAAACGCTTCTAAGGTTTTCTTCCCATATATATTATTCCCCTTTCTTGTAAGATACATGATGCAACAGTGGCCTACCAGTATTGCATTTCTTTCAGTGACAGCAATAAACTACCACACTGCTTTCTTAGTGTCCACTTAAGGATGCGTTATGTTCTCGTGAGCGCCTGTTCCCATGTTCACCTTCGTACCCGTCTGGTCAACATACTGTTTCACGCACGTCCGTTGGCATGCGAAGGGTTCCCATCAAAGGAGAGGGGCATAGTATTATTGCAGCATCCTGCCCCCATATTTTCCTGTTGGTAAAGTTGAGAGGACACTTGATCCCTAATGGACAAAAACAATTGATAGCATGCTTTTCCCCGCATTAGTTCGTCTGTAATCTCTGTAATTCCCGAAGTAAAAATTCTAAATTAGCAATTGCTAAAACTGAACATTGAGGGCCTTCGACGTCCACTATATCCGAAAGCTTGCCCGGCCATAACTGAGCAAACCTATTGGGCACACTGTACGCCTTCTCCTCCCTTAGGTGATTTTTTTTGTGTGGCAAGCTATCCTCCTTGTGCGCTCATTTATGCGAATGCCGTAAACAATGCCAGTCTTGCACCCAATGAACGGTTTCGCATGGTTGAGCTGGTGCTCACCGCTCCCCATTCGCGTCACGAGTTTGCTGTGGCAGGATGGTTGGCAAACTCCTTTGCAGTGATAGTGTGACCTCGTTTTCTAGTTTCATCTGCAGGTACAAAGCGCGCCTTTTCGAAAGCGAGTCTCTTTCCTCACGCTGTCATTAACCGATTGTGCACTTGTCACGCACGTGTAAGGGTGTATGTATTCGGGATTTTCCAGCGAGAATAACGAACTGCTAGTGTATTGTTATGGAGATGTGCGCTGGTAGCACAAGCGAAACGAACGTGTCTTGCAGCGCACAAACGCGAGCAGCCGATTGTTTTTGTCTACTTCATCCATGTCAGGCAGTGGACCTTTTCAGTGACTGATTGATTGATATGTGGGGTTTAACGTCCCAAAACCACCATATGATTATGAGAGACGCTGTAATAGAGGGCTGCGGAAATTTGACCACCTGTGGTTTTTTAACGTGCACCCAAATCTGAGCATACAGGCCAACAACACTTCCGCCTCCATCGGAAATGCAGCCGTCGCACCATTTCAGTGATTGTTCTGTGAAAACAAAAGTTGCATGGAGCGTAAACTACAAGCATTTTTTTTAAATTGGCAGTCAAGCGTGCAGTTGGAATCACACTTGCCTATAAAGTAGCCTGTCCATCGCTTGGGCAGCAGTCTTCCGTAGTCTTTTGCAAAGATATACGGAGAATGACGACCAGTAGTGATACCAAACGTTGTCATACCGAATGTTAATTCGTTGCACTACATATTTATTGCATAAATGGAAGCTTGTAGCTAACGCGAAGTAGCAGGTGCGGGTGGTGCCCAACTTCACAGCCACGCTCTCGAACGCTTTAGATAGGTGGGATTCAGACTGCACGTGTCTGATCTGTGCATGGAACAATAACAAAAAAAAAGTTCAGCGTCGCTGGTAATCCTAATGATTACGTCATCGCTACACGTTCCTACTATCGATCCGACGCTTTCATTTTATTCATGTGCTCACAACATCACGAGAAATATCAGAATAAAATGCATACGATAGATAGACGTACACTAAGAGCATGTATTGATTATACTAAATTATCATGTGTGCATAGAAATGGGAACAGATGAATGTGCCGACATTATTGGCAGCGTAGCTGTTTTTAAGCCCTGCTCGAAAAGAAATACGCAGAAACTGAAGGACGAGAAAGAGTGAACGACATGACGCCAGTATAAACAACTCTGTTTAGTGGCAGAAACCACTGAAGTATACATGCAAACACTATATCCGACAAACAAAACACGCATAGATTTCCGTGGCCAGATAGACTACGGCGTAATCTTGCAATGACACTGGACTCACGGCCCACGTGTCACCTAACATGGGAAAAAAACAATACATTAATAATCTCTCCTTATCCGGCCATAATGCCTGGATAAAACCTTGGTGCCCGAAAGCAGTGGTTTGCACGTGCACTATCTGCAATGTAAAAATCGATTAGGCGAAAGTTGAACACTTAATCAATCATTATGATCATCTGACGGTTATTAACAGACCTGCCGGTATGACCAGTATACAATTTGACGCATGACAAGGTGATTTACCTTTGACAGCAGCTAAAAAATTTTGTCATGCGGGAAATCATGCACTGGCCAGACTATCAGGTGTGTTTATGACCATCTGATGAATCACAGCACTTCATTAAAAGGGCAGCGTTAATTTATATAATCTATGACTACATTTGGGAGACTGCACGTCCTCTCTGACTCCAACATTTTATCCTGGTATTACGAACGAATAACAACAGAGATTACCGAAGCATCCTTCATTCACAAGTAGAGTAGCCCGGGGTTCGTGAGGCTTTAGTGTCATTGCATGATTTAGTAATTGTCTATCCGGACACGAATATTAGGTTCACATTTTTTTTGGTTAGTTATGGTGATTATATTTTCTTCCCTTTTTTCTGGTATTAAATTAAGTTAGATTGGTGCCATGACGTCTACTGCTTCACGTCCTATGATTTCCGGACCTTTCATTTCCAGCATTGATTTCCAACTTGTCCAATATTCAGCTGTTTAGAGCTGAGCATTGATTCATGATGCGTGGACCAAAATAACCAATATGCTGAAATATCACGCGCTCTGTTCTTCTTCTTTCTCTTCTTTTTTTTTTTTTTTGTTTCGCTCCTAGAACACGCGCTACGGTTTCTCTGGCGTGGGTTGTATTTACTCTGATGGCTAATGCTGTTTTTCACTGGTAGATTCGGAGCAGGTTTTTTTGCTCCGTGGCGACGAAACCGCATTTCACTGGTAGATTCAGAGTGGATCCGCGCTTTTCACTGGTAGTTTCAGAGCAGCTCGCTCCGAGGCGGATTGCTCGCACTGCTCCGCCGACAAGTCGCAGATTCGGGCGGAAACACGACGAGCAGCATACGTCACTTCCGTCGTTGTACGTTGCTGAGTTTTGCAAAATGGCTGCGTTCGCTGCCTTGGCGGAACTTCTGTCTAGCGACGAAAGCACTTCAAGCAGCAGCTCGTCCAGCTCAGACGACGAAGACTTCGAGGAAAGACAAGCGCTATGCGAAGCCTTCTTTCGGGAAACTTTTTCGGAGTCCCACCGCGAACGTCCCAAAATTTTGGGGTTCATCGAGAACGTTGCGCGGCTGTACACAGACGAGCAGGTAAGCGCGGAGCTCCCTCTTTTCATAATACTACATGAACCTAATTTCATCTTTTTATCATTTCCTTCTCTGCAGTTCCGTCAAGACTTCAGGGTGTCGAGGCGTGTCGCGGAAACGTTGATCCGTGGTTTTGAAGGCTCGCGTCACTACCCATGCAGTGATCGTGGTGGGTCCCCCTCGAAAACCGCGGAAGAGCACATTCTGGTCTTTCTGTGGTAAGTCTGCACGCTGTTTTAAAAGTCATGCCTACCAGTGTGTATAATCTTAATGCTTTCAAGTGCTTCGGCGTAGAAGTACGTTTTTTCGTTGCGTGCGCAGAATTTTGACGGGGAGTCCAACCATTATAAATTTTTGTTCGTGTGTTTATGTGCGCGTGTGTAGAGAATATACACATGTGAAATTTAACAATTTCGGCGGCGTTAAATCTCCCTAGTAGCCTTCCCGTGGCTACGCCGCTTGTGCTTTTTGTCCTTGAAAGTTGCTAAGTGTGATGCAATGGAAACCAATGAAATATGACCGCTTGCAACTGCACAGCCAGAGAGAACAGTGTTAAGAGCTTCTACTTTTCTTACGGCTGCTAATTTTGATGCAAATATTTCATGCCTTTATTTCACAAAGCAGGCTTTACTTGATCACTTTCTTCCATAATGTGTGTTTGCTGTGTCAGGTTTGCTGCAAACAAGGCGTGCCTGAGGGACGTTGCTGGACGCTTTGGCATGGCAACTGCGACAGCATTTAGAGTCGTGGAGCGCACGCTCGAATATTTCCTTGATATAGCCGAAGAGGTAATATCATTTCCAGGAGATCTTGATCAGCTGTCAGCGGACTTCGAACAAGTAAGAATTTTAGGTATTTCACTGTTCCATGGCAAACACAACAAATGAGTTGTCTAATTGAAGCTTACTTTAGAGAATAGTCACATAATACATTGATTGTAGCAGGTTAAGCTGCCGTTGGGGCACAGGGGATGTGGTACTAAGTTGCGCTTGAAAGATGGGGTTATTATCAAGCAGTCTCACTATCAAATGAGAAATGCTAGTGAAACATGTATTGTTCATTTACAGTGCACATAAAAGCAGGGTGTCTGCCAACGTGGAAAAGTCAGGGAATTTCAAAAAAA